AGGATCGCTTGAGCCCAGGAGTTTGAGGTTGCTGTGAGCTAGGCTGACGCCACAGCACTCTAGCACGGGCAACAGAGCCAGACTCTGTCTCAAAAAAGAAACAAAACAAAACATAAAGATGGCATGAGTTCCCACCCCATACAGTGAATATGTGTAGAACATAACCAGCAATTAGTGCTTGCTAAATATACTAGGATTAAACTATAAAAACCGTCAATATCCAATTGTTTGTGAGTAATAAAATGGCAATTTAAATTGTTTCAATCTAATGTCAATTTTAACATTAGAAGGGGGAGAAAAGATAATGTGAAGATACTCAAAAGAGCTCACGCTTGAAGGTTTGCACGGAGCTTGTGAGCACAGGAGGTCATGGGTCCAAATCACATACTCTCTAGAGCCTCTGCCACTCCCTACTTACCCTCCCCCACCCCCAAGCAGGGTATTATTGTCCTCCTGTGCTGGAAATGCACACCTCCTCTCTGAGTTTGATAACCACAGATTTCTAGTTTTTAAGCAATCTCAATTTCACCAAATCCTATTCTTCTTCAATAAAGGCAAGTTAATTTTTTTAAGTAAATAATGATAAAAAAAAGTAAAGCTTCAGAAAGAAAGGTATCTACAAATACCACTTTCCAGGGTAATAGACGAGATGTACTTATAATCAGGACATTTATATTTTAGCCCAATCTGGCAGCATAGTATATTGGATAAGAGAACTGGAATAATGTCAGAACACTAAAATGTTTATCCTTGTTCTACTACTAAATGTTAAATTTGGTTAGCCAACCTCTTTCAGTCTGAATTTCTTCACCTGACACTGCTCCACAGTTTGCTAAGACAGTTAAATAAGGATTACATAGTAGGAACTCAACAAATTCATTCCCTTCTCTCTCTTTCTGACACAATTTTCTCTCCATTTGAAAACTACACTTCTCACAACGGTGAGCAGTCATCGAATGCCCCTAGAACTACATCATAAATTTCTGATTTCATGACTTTTCTCATAAAGTTCTTCTCATGTGGAAAGGCTCCCCCAATATTACTGATTTTAAAGAAATCTTCATCTACTACTCCTGACCTCCCCTCTTCTTTGGAATTCCAATGACACAACTGTAAGTACAGTCTGCTATACTTTTTCTTGGGAGTGGTTTCATCTCTCAAACTAGATTAGTAATTTTCTGACAACTTCTTAGCAAGTCCTCAGTATTTTCTCCCATAATTAGTTCAGAATTCTATCATAATATTCATTCCTACACTTTTACAGGAAAATTAATCACTTATAAAAAGTAAAATTCCCCAGAACATTCTGTTGCTTTACTTACAGGGCACATCAAGGATACCCGAAGGCTAGTTGTAGCAATTTCACTATCAGGATCTGCAGTAAGTTTTTCTTTAACTTTAAAAAGAAGAGAAAAAAATTAAAATTAAAAAAAATTAATGGAGACATAGGAACAGAATAGAAATATATAGCATCTTATTTTAAAATTTCCCAGACACTTTGAACAGATCAAGAAACAAAAAAAACATTTAATATTAATGTGTTGAAAACACAACCATATTCCCAGTATTAGGTTAAAGAATTATGAACTTGTAAACTCTAGACATGCTTAATTAAATTTTTAAAAGTAAAACTGCTGGTAAAGAAGAATTTCAATACAGAAAGCTGTTTAAGACTTAAGAACAAAACAATTAGGAGAGGAAGCTGAAATGCAGCAGTACCTTAAGCTTCAAAGCTTTTCTAACACATTCATTACTGTTTTTATTAGGCAGTATTGCTTGTTTCCAACACTTATTAAACGTGTAAACAGAAAAGAAAAATATACTTCTTTTGACAAGTGAAAACTATTATGTATGTGGTAATGTGTCTGTGATTTTATTTACCAGGTAAAGTATACAAACTACTATAATACACAAGATAGATAAATATATACTAATATAAATATTTGATGTGTGAGTTTTTGTTGTTTTTTTCCCATTAAAGCATCTCATATGCTCAGTCTTACAAATATTACTTACTTAGTGCTCTGGAATGATCAGGGTTTCTAATACCTTTCATTTTTAATCTCTGTAATAACATGGCTGATGTGAGCTGTCGTACAAGATATACAGACATGGAGTAATTCTACAAACAAAAAAATCTGTATTAAAGATGAGAGATAATATTCTCTTTATGTACATAAAATACTTATCTGGCTTCTAAAAATAACATTCAAAATAACTTCTACAGGAAGGTCAATGACTGGAAAGGGGACAAAATCAACTTAGCTACTTCAGGGGAGATAAAAGCTCAGTCATTTTAAAGGTATTTCTCAATCACTTATCACTTTAAAGCACACACTGATATGGTAACATAGCTTGGATCAGTGGTTTTCAAACTGTTTCTTATTTAGCAAAACTGGTACCTTAGGGGCTACTGTGAAAATGTACCCTCCCATGTCTACTTCTAACCGGAATCATTCTGTATTTACCTACTTTATGTAATGGGGCTCTCATATTTTTGTTTAAAAATGGGTTCCACTGCAGGAATAAAGTTCAAATACCAGTGGTCTTAATTAACACTTTAAACCCATAGTTGCAAAGTTCTAATTCTGGCAGAAGAGATCACTTGCTACATGGCTTTTGAGTATATCACTCAAATGAACCCACTATCAGCTTTCTTCTGAGGAAAGCTTTGATAAATTAACTCCTCTTCACAAATAAGCATTTTACTAAGAAAGTGGCAGCCACTACAGTTTATAAGACACATGAAGAAATGATAAAAATCAAAAAGGAAGGCCAGAAAATAGCATCCAATCCCGTACCTCTTAGATGTGGCACAAAGAAACCTTCGTTAGCTATTTATAGAGCTATGAAGAGATGAAATATAATTTTACCTAAATGCTAAAAAAAAGATCTTACCATTTCACTATATAATTCATTCAATTGATTCTACTGTAAACATAATACTTTAAATAGTTGCCAAACCAAATATTTTAATATTACTTTTCAATGTCCTTCTAAATATCTAAATACCCAATTTACTGTGCAAAATTAATCATTTTAATCACAAGAATATTATTCCCATTACAAGAATATTATTCCCATTACAGGGAAAAATTGTCACATTTTCAATGTGTACAATAATTTACACAAATATATGTAAGTTACTTCCAGCTCTGCAATTACCTTGATGATAAAACAAAAAATATCCTATTATAAACATATGCCTCCATTTTTCCATCCACAAAACAGAATTATCCTTTACTTCCATGAAATAGAAACATTAAAGTTGATGTTCAGAAATTAACTTGAAATCTCTTTTCCATTATTTCAGTTATATAAACAAGTAATTCTAAAATGTAAATTCCCTGTTGTTTTAATCAGCATCTCATAATTGATGTATTTTAAGTGCAAAAAACAGCATAAAGCCAGGTTCATCAACCTGAAGGTATAGAGGAAATAATTATATAATTCTAAGTAAATATTTTTATACAAGATGCCCACCTATCTGAAATATCAGCTGTTTAGATAAAAGTTGGAACAAATTATTTCTAATCACAACATGACTACATTTGACCATTTCCCCCAAAGACTGATAAAGCTTTGTTCTTCTCCATAAATATTTATCATCCATGGCTTCCAGTTTATTAAAATACTGCTTAACCACACATAATTGTGATTAAACCATTATCTTAAGAAATATAAAGAAACTTATTTTCTTTCCAGGAAAATAAAGAAATAATACTCAGGAAACCCGAGAGTTAAAGTTTTTAACTGTAAGAATCTCTACACAGCCACGCCTGAATTGAAAATTATTGTTTTTTAGAGATTACAATCAGAAAACTGAAAGAGCTAGGGCCAGCACTCTAAGAAAAAACTCCCAGTGGGGTCACTTCCATACTACCCAGAGGAGAGAAGCTTTACCTTTCCAATTTCTGATGCCCAAGAAATAGAAATCTGGTTTGGCACAGCAGAAGATAACCTAACTAAAGATGTAATATTCAAGGGGCGTCCAGGGCGTTTCTGTTCAATCCCATTTTTAGGTGGTGGTGCGTAGCCCTATAACCGTAAGAAAGAAAAATTATTTTAAATTCTCTGTAGAGGATTAAACATTTTCTCCAAGATAGATACAAGATCTTGCCTAATTTCAGTTACATTATTTTTATTTTTGCCTGGAAATCACATAGCCCTTATCTTACGATCATTAATCCAAAACAAGAAAATGATCTTTGAAGAAAGTTACAAAATATTTCACAAGTCTAGAAAGGTAGAGGAAAAAAAATCCATGTTCCATCATTAAAATTAAAGATGCTGACATCCTGCCATATTGGCTATCAGTATTCTTCCTTTTTAAAGGAAACCAGCATTTACAGATAAAGTCACAACTCTTTGTAGTGATTCATCTTAGGAGGCCCTATTCAAAACCCATTCACATATTGGGGGTGGGAAAGAGGACAAACAAACTGGGAATTTTAAAAAAACACATTAATGAATTTCATTCTTAAAATCTGTGACAAAAATGCTTTCCACTGCCTTTTCTCTGAGTAGAATAGAAACTGTCTTTTAAACCAGGCCAAGTTAACAAATAAGGAAATCAATATTTCAACTGACATTAGATGAACTCGATGGCTATCATACTACTATTTACGCTTTAATCTACTTTTATCTAGACATCAAGTGTTTGTTTTAATCAGCAAATGTACTACTCATTTCTGATTCACAGTGTATCTACTTCTTGATCACAAGACTTCGTTCAGACTTATTTCCAAAACTAAATGCTTTAGAAAATTTTCTTACCTGCAAAAACACAAACTGAAAAGCAGATACTGTATTTCACTGACTCGAAGATGCCACTGATGTAATTTAATCATGTACCATTGAGGAGAAAGCACTAAGTTAATGATACAACTTGGTGTATCATTACTTACTGCTGCATACATAGCAAGGAAATATAAGCAAAATGAATTAACATATGCCTTTCGAACATACCAAAGAGTCTTCTGAATCACTTTTCAGTCATCAATGTCTACATTTTTCCACATGATACTCTCCTAAACTCAAGTAAGAGCTTTAGAGATAAAGCTGTTAAAACTCTTAAAACTGTACTCCCTAGCCAGGCGTGGTGGTACGCACCTCTAGTCCCACCTACTCAGGAGGCTGACGCAGGAGGGTGGCTTGAGCCCAGGAGTTAGAGGTTGCAGTTAGCTATGATGGCGCCACTGCATTCTGGTATGGGCGACAGAGCAATACCCCATCTCTTTAAAAACAAACAAACACTATTCCATTCTACTAACATCTTTCAGATTTCCTTGCAAGTCACTGACATCTTTAACTTGCATGTGTTATTGGTGATAACAATTTAGATCTTATGAGAACATATCCACGAAAGGTTATCAGACAATAGCCAGGATCATGCTCCTTCCTCAAAATCTCCTTAAATTATTTGTTTACTGAAAAGCCAAGGGGGTGCAGCTAATCAGTCATGCCATGGCAATAACATCAAAGCTTTACAAGTGAGGTAATGACATCACGGCTTCTGGATTTCAGCAATGTAAAAATATGCACCTCACAAACAACGAAAAACAGCATTGGTAATATTACAGAGCACAGCTAAGGAACACATTCTACTACAACTTCGGAACACCCTTCACTGTCTCATAAGAGGTAGGATACTAATTATTAAGTGAGAGTCCACATGATTAACTTATAATCTACAACTTGCAACAAATTTTTGAAAATCATTAAAAACAGTTCGAGCAGGGGAATAAAAGACAAGGAGAAGAACTTAAATAACCTGCACTATAATACAGAAATGGAAATAAAGGGAGCAGGTCGGGGGGGAGAAAGAGAGAGTGTGAATGTGTGTGTGTATACATAGGAGGGTTATGTTCATCTAAGAGTATGGAGGAGGGAACACCTTAATCTGTTCAAGTGAAATACAACAGGAAAAGAAACTCATAAAAAAGTACTCTTATAAAGAGTCTAGGGATTCAATGAGCAACACACACAAGGAATATCAACATCAATATCTAGGCAATTTTTTTTTTTTTTTTTGAGACAGAGTCTCACTATGTCACCCTGGGTAGAGTGCAGTGCCATTATCATAGCTCACTGCAACCTCAAACTCCTGGGCTCAAGGAATCATCCTGTCTCAGCCTCCCAAGCAGCTGGGACTACAGGTGCAAGCCATGATGCTCTTGCTCAGGCTGGTCTCGAACTCCTGAGCTTAAGAAATCCTCCCACCTCGGCCTCCCAGAGTGCTAGGATTACAGGCGTGAGCCACCACACCCAGCCAACATCCAGGTAACTTTGAATGAAACCTTTGTTTTGCCTGGTTTTGGCCTGGAAGATAATTCTGTCTCCTGGTATGTCCACTGGTAGGTTGACCAAATAAAAACAATGGTACACGGTCTGCCTGGAGGATAAAAATAACTCATGAACTAGCTAAATGTGAACTCTGTAAATTGGAATTTGAGAAATAAGACTCTGACAAGAGCGGAAAACAGCAACAGGAGTGAGCAGAGTAATAGTGAATGTAAGAATGAAATGTTAGCAAACTCATATTCATGTTGATACTAGTCTCATTCATCTTAAGTATTAATATTTCAACCTATTCTCCAGCCCATCTGAGTGGTTTGATTTCACTGATAATTTTGAGTTATCTGTTAACTGGCATTCTCCCTCTGACCATGAGCACCACTCCCACCCATCAATTACCTGGTTATTGAGAATAATGGATAGTCGGAATTTCATAAAATAGCCTTCAACTATTTTTAACAATTTTCTGTATTTACAGCAAAAATAGTTCACCTTACGAGGGATCTGTGGAGCAAACCTACAAGCTAAGTAAACGCCACTGGAGAGCACTAGTGGAAGACTGCATGTCAATCTTAGGGTAGTGCTTCAGAAAAAGACACAAAGAACTTTTTATGTCACACGCTCTAATGACATCTTACCCTACCTTGCAATTGTCACAAAAGTCCACAATTGTTGGACTTCAACATTTTACTCCGAATTTTCTAATCACTACTACTACTCTAATACTACCAACATGGATTTACTTTTTTACTTTGTATTACGGAAATTTTCAAACACATACAAAAGTAGAGAAAACAGCAGGTACCCACCGACCAGCTTCAATAATTATCAACAAGTTGTCAATCTTGTTTCAACTGCCTCTGGCCCCAATCCCAACCCACCCTAAAACACACACACCATATAAATTCATTTATTTTCACCCTTGATTATTTAAATTCAAGTTCTAGACATGTCATTTGACCCACAGGCACTTTAATGTTTCTCTAATAAGCTCTTTAAAAAAAAAAAAACCCCACAGTATCACGACCTTACCAAAATTAACCACAATTTTTAAAAATCATCTAATACTTTGTGTTTCTATCCAGATTTTCCAGCTGCCTCAAAGATGTCTTTTCCTTTTATCTTTTTATTATTGAACATTTCAAACATACACAAAAATAGGGAAAAAAGTATAATAAACAAAATGCCCATATACCTATCACTTAGTTCAATAATTTATTTACTCATGAACAATCTTTACTGGCTCTACCCCATCCCATTCCAGGTTATTTTAAAGCAAATCTCAAAGATGTCTTTTCCTTTTATCTTTTTATTATTGAACATTTCAAACATACACAAAAATAGGGAAAAAAGTATCATAAACAAAATGCCCATATACCTATCACTTAGTTCAATAATTTATTTACTCATGAAATCTTTACTGGCTCTACCCCATCCCATTCCAGGTTATTTTAAAGCAAATCTCAGACATATTTTCTCCATATATAATTTGATTAAAAGATGCCCCTTTTCAGTTTGAATCAGAATTCAAACTAGAACCTCACACTGCATTTAATTATGTCCCTGAAGTCTCCTTTAGTCTATAAGCATTCTCCCCTGCCAAACATACACCCCCCTCCCAATTCTTTTCCAATGCTGTTGTTCTATTGGAGAAACTAGGACTTTTGACCTGAACAATGACCTCATATTTTGGATTAGGTAGATTGCTTCTTCATGGTATGAAGTTTTGTTGCTCCATCTCCCATATATTTTTAAAACTGATAATTAGTTGCACAAGCTTGATTAAATTTGGGCTCAAGTTTTTAGACACAGGAACTTCCCAAGCAATGTTCCATGCTTCCTACAGCATAAGGCATATAAAAGCTGCTTGCCCTGTTCCCAGAAATGTCAAAGTTGAGCAGGAGTTGAGGGGATGTCAAACTGATCCCTCCACTACAAGGTTCCCCATCAAGCTTTGGCCTAGTGTCCATAGATGGTTACCTAGATCTATATGATTACTATATGATTATCAACTGCAGAATAATGATTTTCTAATTCTTTTATTCCTTTTGATTGTATTAGCTGAAATGTTTCAAGACAGAATTTGACCACATCAACATCTGGTTACCCCGAAATGAATAATTCTCTCCCTTAATTAATCCTCAGAGATATAAGTAGGTACAACCTGCAGTGGTTTTAGTATAATTATAAACTTATTTACATATTTGATGGTTTTGAGTCTACTGTAGTCATTATTTTGTTCAGATGCCAAAATTATCCCATCTCAGGTCAAAGAGAGCCTTTTCAAATTGGGGTGCGTGCGTGTATACATGTTTTTAAAAGAAGAAAATTTTGAGTTTACTTCAAGTCCAGACTTACTGTGAGGCAGGCCAATGGGGTGACTAATACACAGCATCAGGAAACAGAAATCCACGTCCTCAGAAGTAAAATTTAGAACAGGGCCAGTACTGATAAGTCTTCAGGCTGCGCCAAAAGGAACTACTTGGAGATTTCTGCCAGCTATTATAGCACACATCCTCTCCATTCTTTGGAATCTTTCAAAGAAATATTCTTCCCTGTCCACACTTCTGCCCCCCTCCAACCTTACAGCTCCACAGGTTTTTACACAAACTTCTCACAATTTAAAAAGAAAAATAATTCAGCCTCTCAAAATAACTCCTCAGGCAAAGAGGGCCATTTTTTCCTCTTCTGCCCATAAAAACATGGAATTTTCTCATCTGGCTGCCAGTCTGCACACTGGCAGCACTTGGAGTTGGGGAGTGGGGTGGAGGGAAGGATGGTCTCTGCGGCAGCTTGTCTGTCCACGCTGCACATCATCCTCCTACAAGCCCTATGAGCCGCTCACGGTCTTCCCTGCATCAAGGGAACCTGGAAAATCAATACGTGAAGGTGTTCATCTCGACACAGCATTAAAAAGAAGTACATGAGCTGCTTTCATCACTATTTGATCCTTAAGAGTCCAAGGACACACTGCTATCGTCAAAGTAATACCACTTCCCGTGCAGTTTACATTGTACATGCAGTATAGTGGCCAGCTGTCACGGGTCCATAAGGACTGGATGCTGCAATAAGATCATACACAAAAGGACTTGCTCCAGGGCACAGACAACTTCGAATATATTCACGGCTCTCATGAGAAATTCCATGACTATGTCAAGCTTATCCCTCCCTCCAGGATCTACTGTTCAATAAACCAGGATCATGGGCAAGTACGACATGCTGAACATCTTTGTGGCCTGTTGATGCTTCTCACAACTCGAACAAAGTCCCCAAGGCTCTTGATGGTGGTCAACAGCTCAGCAGAACTCCTTCAGGGCCACTGTAGCTTTCTTCTTCTGAGGCTGCAGCACACTCATGTTTATAAAGACTCCATATTTTATTATCCCAGTCAATAGCAATTGTGGATCAAGAGGTGGTTTAAGGAGTTTTCCCATCAGTTGCACGTGAATTTATGTCAGTTGTTCCATAGGAATTCACAGGGCTTAGGTAAAAAGCCTCTTTGGGAAAGGCTGGCATTTGATTTTCTTTGGGACAGCCCTACCAGGATCAGGCAAGTCCTCCCCATTGCCTTCTGTTTTGAAATACGTCTCTGCCTTTCTCTCAATGCTCCATTTCTTCTCCTCCTTCACAATGATCCCTGGAGCTACCACGCGGATCCCTAAAGCTACCTGGCTCTACAGGTTGAATGACAGACTCAAAGGGCGCTTTATGTAGTAGCTGATAGGTTCACAAACAGCCTAGTATAAGTACTAAAGGGTTAGCTGATGCTCTGGACAGGAACCAGCAGTAACTGAGTAACAACGTCCCAGAGGAAAGTACTCAACTGCCTGATTTCCTCTCCCTCAAAAGACTGGAAGAGTGACAAATTCAAAGCTAACCACAGTGGTGCTGTAGACCTCATACATGAAGATATCATCCCAAAACATGACACTGACTCCATTTGGAAGTTTTGTGGAACATGTATGTATACACATCTGTAGCCACTATATTTTCTATAGCAATGCCAGAGAGTTTAGGCAGAATCTCACACATTTCAGACACGGTCCCCATCAGTAGCACAGTCACATGATGATACTGGATAGGTTTTCAAGGTGAGTCTGTAGACACCAAAAAGGCTTCCATAGTTATGCCTTTCTTCAAGTATAGCAGGACAGGTTAAATAGCAATGAAACTCATAGGTCAAAGAAATCTTAGCAGACCCTGGGCAAAGAAAAATGGATATAAAAAAGCCATGGAAAGTGTACACAGAGCTGTTCTATAATCTGTGATTTTGCCAGGCTGTCTTTGCCATACATCTGGCCACCCACTGGCATCCTTCAGCTCCAAGTAGGGTTGCTTCACCCCTCAGTTTGGATCTAGATAAGAGCTCCTGAGAATCTTACTGCTTGTAGCCAGAAACCTGAGAGGCAAATGTCTCACCTGGGTTTTAAACATGGATGGGGCCATGTAAGTAACCCTCCCTGACCATACTACTCAGCCTCTGCAATTTCCCCTTTCATCCCCAGGACCGTCTCCATGGATTTCAGTCTCACGGGCATCTTTCAAAAAGAGTCAGTGATGCAGTGTTGCTCAAGCCCTGTAAAATGTGTAAACAAGTACTTCTCAGGCCTCCAAGAGTCCACAGGCTGTGTATAAGACAAATGAGACTCCTGACAACTGAGAGAAGTCACATCCACTACAAGACAAGGGTCAACCTGGGCCATAGACTATATTCCCCTGGAGCTCAATTATAAGCACATGGCTCTGGTAGAGCTCAGAGTCCTAGGCTGTGTTGTCTGACTTGCTCAGCTGCTCATCAGCATTGCTTATATACTTATTCCAGAGCCAAGTCTCGTGCTCAGCAGGGATGCTAAACGGCTTCTCCATCTCCTCAATAGTTGCAAGGGTGTCTGCTCTGTTGGACTGGCAACTTGGCATACTGGTGGAGTCACTGTTCTCACAGCACTTCAGTTACAGCAAATATACCTCCCACTTTGTAGTGCTTGACAAATAGGCCATGTTGTACTATTTTTTTGATTATGGTTTTGCTGGCCTTCTACAGACTATACCAATTTCGCAACATATGCCAGGCTTCAGTGGAAACCAATATATAATCCAGTTCAACAATGTAAATGTTATTTTAAGATTTGACTAACAGGATTTAAAGAGTCTAGAAACTCGAACAGGCTGTATACATCCATACTGTATATATCCCAGGTACTGAAGCCCATATAGTACTTCACTGCTGAAACAGGTTGTCAATCAAGTATCAGTGCACACCCTCAAATCCCAAGTGTGTGCAACATTAAGGCCCAAGCTTGGAATTCTTGATTTCTGTGGACAGTAGCTCTCAAAATCATCTGCTTCTCACCACATCATCCACTGGCCAGGCCCAGCTAATCCCGACATCCACCAAAACACGCTGTCCTACATATTCAAATGCCCATGTCCTGCCCTGCTATTATGCCATTTGATATGATCCCAAGATCTTCCTTACTTTCTGGACCAAGATGTTCCAGACTCTAGCTGGGCATGGTGGTATGCACCTGCAATCTCAACCTATTCAGGAGGCTAAGGTAGGAGGATCACTTGAACTCAGGAGTTCGAGTCCAACCTGGGCAACATAGTGAGACCCTATCTCTTTTTTTATATAGATATATTTTTTAAATGTTCCAGGCTCATATTTTCCATCTCTCCCAGACCTGGTATCAGCCATTTATTTCTCCAAAGAACCATAGATCACTTTGGTGGAAAACATTACTTAATCTAGATGCTTGGCCTGTTCATCACTGGTACTGAGTTGACACTGCTAGTACTAGTACTTGTCACTGTTTACATTAAACTTATATGCAAATATGGTGAATAAACAGCAACTTACAGGCAAAGGAAATAGCTTCCCATTTACTTTTATACATAGACTATTTGGATAGTTATCTTCTTGAGGGCAACTTGTCTCTGCCAGGCAAAGTCTGCATTAATAAAAGAAAAAAATTATTCTTAAATAGTATACTCAAACATGTTTATGTGTTTTAAAATTTAGAACTATATGCACATAGTTAGCAAGTATAAAATTAAGGTAACAGAAAATTTCAAACTCACCTCAACTGAACTTGTACTGTATAATCTCTCCTACCACCGGGCAAAAAATCCCTATTGGAAACAGAAAGAAAGTAGGTTAAGAAATCACAAGGAGAATTCACAGAAACACCCTCACCAGAAAAAAAAAGCATTATTCATAATTTTGTTCTTATTCCTTAAAAGATGAACACTAGATTACAAACAATCAAATATTAAGGCACAAACATTAATCAAAACACTGGAATGATGATAACCCCTATTTACTTAATTTTCAGCCATGTATTTATGGCAATTTTTAAGGTTATTTTCAATCCATAGAAATTTTGATGATGCAAAATTCATTTTAACAGACAACAAATTTGGTTAACACAAAAGGAAGTACCCTACATTCTGAAAGAGTTTCATAAATTAATCTACTTGCTTAGAGGTTCTTAACCTTGGCTGAGCATTCTAATCACCTGAAGATTTTTTTCTTTTTTAAATATAAAGATCCATTTGCCAGATATTCTTATTGGTCTTGAGTACAGCCTGAGGATTAGGTTTTTACAGCTATTTAGGTGATTCTAATATAGAATCAGGATAAAGAACTAGTGCCTAGAGTCTCAACATTTTCACATCATGGCAACTTCATAATTACGTACCCAATTAAAGACCCAACCTCTTGTAATTTCTAGAGAAGAATCTAATGGTTCCATGTGAAATATCTTTTGGGACCTTCCAAACCCTTGCACCTCAAAATGGAGTCTACAGTGAAGCAGCATTGTTATCCCTCAGGCGCTTGTTAGAAATGCAGAATCTGAGATCCCACCCCAGACCTACACAATTAGAATGTGTATTTTAACAAGATCCCAGGTGACATGTATGCACACTGCAGTTTGAGTATCCTTAGCCACTGTCATAAATCTTACACTTTGTCTTCTGATCATTAGGGTAGTCCTTTCTTGAGAAACCTGAAGTACATTTAGCCCTCACCTTGCTCTAACTGGATCAGTCTTCTCACCATTCCCAATTCTCTATGTTCACTGAAAGGCAGTAAAGCATAGTAGTGACCAGCCTGAGCTCTACAGTCCCAAGCCGTACAAACCTGGGCAAATTAGTTAATCTTTCTGTGCCTGTTTCCACATTTGTTAAAAATGGAAAATTATTACACCTACCTCATCAAGTTGTTATGATTAAATGTACTAATAATATAGGTAAAGTACCTAGATATAAGATGTGCTCAACAAGTATGAGCAAGTGGCTGCTATTATTGTTTTCCTCTGCTCCCACCGTCTTCCTTGCCACTAGTAGCCCCCATCCTTCTCAAACGTCTATTCAAAACATCCCAATATCCTAGACAATACTGACCTCTTCTGAGCAACCCTTATCATTCCACTCATTCAAATAAAAAAATATCTCACAGTCTGGGCAATGGAGACTCAAAGATAAATAAAACACAATATTTGCTTCCAAGGACTCATATGCTAATAGGTAACAGATACATACAACTAAAATAAAATGTGGCAAGTGGTATAGTATATTATGAAAAATAAGTTCTATAGAAAAAGGGGAAATTTTATTTTTGCCTTGAAAGTTCAAGGCAGTTAACACAATTAGTTTGATCAAATTAGAACCACTACTCTACAAACCGTGTTTTCTAACTATTTTTGCTAGTGTGGTGATTCTCAATAAGAGGAAAGGGTGAGATTCAACCAAAGATACAGATCAGAATCTTATTAAGATGGGAAACATAATTTGAAAATAGAGAAACAAGAAGAAATAAGCCTAGGAAGATGGATGGGGCCAGGCAAGGCTCACACCTGTAATCTTTGCACTTTGGGAGGTTGAGACAGAAGGATCGCTTAACGCCAGGAGTTCGAGACCAGCCTGAGCAACACAGTGAGATCCCCATCTCCACAAGAAATAGAAAAATTAGCTGGACATGGCAGTGCACACCTATAGTACTAGCTACTCAGAAGGCTGAGGCAAGAGGAAGCCTAGGAGTTTGAGGTTGCAGTGAGCTATGATGACACCACTGCACTCCAGCCAGGGCAACAAAGCAAGACCCTGTCTCAAAAAAGAAAAAAAAGAAAGAAAGAAGGATGGATGGATAAATGTGAGCATGTTACAAAGAGTTTTGAACAGCTCCCTAAGGAGCAATACTTTATTCTGGTAAGGGAAATTAACATGAACAGAGAAACACAATGTGCTAAATGTCTTCACAAACATTGTTGAGTAATGACCTTCCAACATTCATTTTCTGCTAGTCACTATGCTAGGAACTTTCACATGTTGATCCAGACATAAAGTAAGCGATTACTATATGCTAGACACCATGATCGGTTTTTTTTTTTCTTTTTTTTTTATTTCAGCATATTATGGGGGTACAGATGTTTAGGTTACATATGTTGCCCTTGACCTCCCTGCCCCCCTAAGTCTGAGTTTCAAATATGTCCTTTCTTCGGGTGGTGCGCATTGCACACTTTGTGTATGCATATACCCAACCATGATCGGTTTTCAGACTATAAAAATGAGTAAGAGTTGTTGCTTTCATCCAGAAGTTTGTAAATGCAAGTAGTGAAATAGATGCAATGATACTTTAATAGTAAGTAAGTACGCTGCACAGTGACAGACAAAGGCTGTGTCTGGGGAAATCTGGAAAAGCATTAGAGTATGTAAGACTTGAACTGGCCCTTCAAACATGACTTAAGAGGTTTGCCAGGCAGAGTAGAAAGAAAGGGTATGTGAAGGTACAGAAATGTGAAGGAGCGTGGTTAACTTAGGAAATAAAACAGGAAAGCCTAGCCAGAGTATAGGTTGCTATAAGAGTGAAAGGAGATAAAATGATTAAAAAAAAAAAAAAAAGGAAAAAGATGCGCAGAGCAAGATGTTGAAGTGAACTGGCAGGCAACGTAGCATGGACTTCATGAGGTACCACTACAGGATGTATAACCACAAAAGAGAAAAAACTCAATGGGCTTTAGAAGGATCACATGGTCAGCTGGGAGATGAAGAGTTGAGACCATTACAATTGAACAGGCAAAAGATGAGACCTTTACAGTTATTTAAACATATTAATGAATATCACTCAGTGATATTTAAACAAAAACTGGTAGGACTCAATGACTGACTAGATATGGGAAGGTAGGATAAGGGAGAAGGAGTTTCCTGGATGGTGCCCAGATTTTAGAATGGTGCAATTGGATAGATGGGGATGCTACTCACCAGGACAAGGAGAAGATGACATAAAGCAATCTCCCCAGCCACTCACTGAGGTGGTAACTGTTATTCCAATTTTACATACTGAGTAAATAAGATTCCGTGACGTTTAGTCACTTTCCCAGGGGCACAGAGATCTAAATTCAGAATTCACTTTTCAGTTGGTATTACCATAAATACCATACTAGCTCCCTCAAAGTTAGAGTTGTAACATCAAGTTTTAAGTACTGAGAATGACACAGAAGGATCAATGAAGTGTAGCAACTGAAAGGATGTGGTAAATGAATAGGGGGCTAATACAAAGAGGCCTCTGTCCAGACAGACCCCAACGCCATTAATGAAATAAGGAATACAGGAGGAAATATACCAAGCAAAAATCTCCTTGAAGCCAGTTTACTTTTCAACTTTACATCCTTGGTGTCTAGATATTGCCTGGACCATGGCAGACAGTCAATGATTACATGCTGCAGGAATGAATGACCAAAAGACAACCAGGTTTGAAGGAAGTCAAGTTCAATATTAAATGTGCTGTTTGATGTGCTTGAAGGTCATCAAAATAGAAATAGAGAAAGTGTCCAGAGGGAGGTATTGGTGATTTTGCAGCCAATATAAAAATAACTAAGTACATTCATGAATACTATCAGAGTAACAAGAAGAGAATCACAGATCAATCACTGGGAATAGGTATGGGAAGTCAGTGTGAGGGACACAGAGGATGATTTAACATAGCCGTACCAATGGAAGGAGTACTACTGAAGCCAAGAACAGAGTTGAACCCGATGATCACTCCGAAAGATGTAATGGGAAAAACAAAAACTGAACCTCAGTGTATTCAAACCTCTAGTCTAGATCTTACTAGGCAAAGCAGAAGAGCTATACTAGATACACAGCAGTGGTTCACAAATTTGCTGCACACTGGAAACATCCAGGAAGCTCTACAAACCACTGATGTTTGGGTTCCATGTTCAGAGATTCTAATTTAATTCAAATGGGATGAAACCTGGATATGTGAATTTTTTAAGCTTCCCAGCTGATTCTAATATGTAGCAAAGTTTCAGAACCAGGCAGATAAAAGTAGTTAGATGACACCACAAGAAGCAATCATCCAAATCTGGAATATATAATATGCTAGAGTCAAATGAGCTAGCTTTTTTTGAAAAGTAGGAAGTGTTATAGTCTTAAGAGATGAACCAGAACTCCTGGAGAAGCTATCCATTACAGTGTTAGAGCACAGAAAATACAACATGAAGCCTGGAGCACCTTGTGGTGACAGAAAGTAAAAAGTGTTCAAAAGTGGATGTGGGGTAGAGGGGTACATCAAAACAGCAAAGAAGCCAACCTGAAAGAACTCCCAATGGCAAAAGGTAGAACTAAATATTACTATAGCATTGGATTATAACCCAAAGAGCACCCATGAGTCCCCACTAATATAATGAATGAATGAATGAATGAGAAGGGACAGCTCCTCCTTACAAAAGAATAACTCCAATGTAAACAGAATAAAGACAATAGAAAATCACCACTGGAATATAAGTGTTTTTGCTGTAATAACTGTTGAAAGCAAGATCTACAAATGGATGCTTAATTAATGGGCAAAAGTTTGGGGAGAAATAGACTGCTATGTGCCTAGTCTCAAAGCATCTCCCCCAAGATATTTATCAAGAACAACAGAAAAAACCAATGACTGTACAGTGCAGAAATCTGGCAGATAGCATCAGCCAAGTGATCAAGGTTAACATTACCAAAAATAAGATGTTATCAATACTATGCAGCCTGATTCAGTACTGAGCAGGGAATACAGCTTGACGTATTTTTGCCAAAAATGTACAATCTCAATCTCATCCTGACAAAACATCAGACATAACCAAATTGAGAAACAGTCTATCAAACACCCGACCAGTACTCTTCAAAATTGTCAGAAATCATGAAAGGCAAGGAAAAACTAAGAAACGGTCACAGACTGAAGGAGACTAGGATGACACAACAATGAAAAGTAATGCGGCATTGGATCCAGAAACAAGACGTTCATTAGCAGAAAAACCGGTAAAATCTGAATCAAGTCTGTAGTTTACAGTATTGTACCAATGTTAATCTCTTGGTTTTGATAATTGTACTATGTTTATACAAGATGTTACTGTTAAGGGAAGCTGGGTGAAGGATATATGTACTACTTTTACTGTTTTTCCGTACACCAAAATTACTTCAAAATATAAAGTTAAAAAAAAATCCTTGGAGATGTAAAAGTCAAAAGTAATACATGGGCCTTGTCTCAATACTGAAACAACTGAGAAAACGTGAATATGGGCTGGAGATTATTTTATAGCCAGGAATTAGTTTTCTAATGTGATTATGTTAAAAATTAGATGCATCTTAAAATATTTCTGGGTGAAATTAATAAGACACCTGTGATCTACTTTACAAAACTTCAGGAAAAGGGTGGTGGGGGAGGTCAGATACAGACTGCGAAATGTTGGTGATTACTGAAGCTAGGTAATTGGGTACCACACCTTTACTTCCATTTATTGGGAAGGAGATTTTTACTATTTGATTCTACAACTCTGAAAGGTTGGGGTTTGTACGTACACGTGTATGTGTGTGGTCCTTTTCTTTTACTTTTGGAGGGAAGACTCCAAATAGCATTACTTTTAAGATTTTTAAAAATTTTTTTATGGGGGGAGGGGGGGCAAGGGCAACATACGTAACCTAAACATCTGTACCCCCGTAATATGCTAAAATAAAAAAAAAAATTTTTTTATATTAGGGTTAAATATACATAAGATAAAATTTACCATTTTAACCATTTTTGAGTGTACAGTTCTGTAGCACTAAGTACATTCACATTGTTGTGCAACCATCACTAACCATACATCTCCAGAACATGATTGAATGTTTTTAATTGAAAATAATTATTTCAGCCAGGTGTGGTGGTGCACGCCTATAATCCTAGCACTCTGGGAGGCCGATGTGGGAGGTCTGCTTGAGCTCAGGAGTTCCAGACCAGCCTGAGCAAAAGTGAGACTCTGGCTCTACTAAAAATAGAAAAATTAGCTGGGTGTTGTGGCGCATGCCTACAGACCCAGCTACTCAGGAGGCTGAGGCAGGAAGATCGCTTGAGCCCAGGAGTTTGAGGTTGCAGTTAGCTATGAAGATGCCACTGCACTCTACCCGGGGAGACAGAGTGAGACTCTCTCTCAAAAAATAATAATAATTATTATTATTATTTTAGTCAGTATACTTCTTGACTACTTAATAGTCACATAGTTTAAACTTCAAAAAGACACAAAAAAGGACATAAAGTAAAATGACTCCCCCTAACTCTGCCCCCAGTCAGGGTGATTATACAGCTCACTTTGCCCAGAACAGTCCCAATTTATGTTCTTATCCTAGAATTATTAATACTGTTCACTTTTACTCTCAAAAATGCCTCAGTTTGGAATGACAAAGTTTATAGTCACCCTATCTCTGGGCTGTTACCACAAATTCTTTATGCTACTATATCTGGAATAAATTTTTCATAATTTTTTAAAATTCCCACCCAATGTGACAAAAAATAATTTAAAAGATATTCTAAAGTTTTATTCAAAGGTTAAAATTTTTTTCTAGTACACAGCACTCATTAAATATTTGGCTAACCTCAGTCAAAGTATGCTCCCCTTACTTAAGGAGAAATAAGCCAATTGTAATGGACTGAATTGTGTATCCCTGAAGTTCATATGTTGAGGTGCTAACCCCCAATGTTACTGTATTTGGAGAAAGAGCCCTTAAAAAGACAATTAAGAGAAAATCACTCCATAAGGGTAGATCCCTAATCCATTATGACTGGTGTCCTTCAAAGAAGAAGCACAGAGAAAAGGCCATGCGAGAAGATATGTGAGCCAAAGAAAAGGGCTTCAGGAGAAACCTAACCTGCCAACATCTTGATCTTGCACAAAGACTCCAGAATTTTGAGAAAAAAATTTCTGTTGTTTAAGCCACCCAGTCTGTGACTTTTTTTTTATGGCAGGCCTAGCAAATGAATATACCAACATTCATGGAGAAATATATTCCAAACATTCCTCTTACCTGGATATGCATATCTCTCTAACTTGTTGAGGTGTTAAAGCAAAAATAAAAAACTTCTCTTGAAATCGTTGAATACTGCTTTGAACTGGGGAGAAAAAAAAGATAATACTTCAATAATAAATCCAAGGCTATAACCACTTGCAATAACCAGGTACTTCTAATAAAGCATCTGCCAAATTCTGAAATTTTACGGTTAAAATACTCCAAAAATGAAGAAGTACTGACTGAACTGTATTCACCTTGGAATCAAGAGTAAAGTCACTACAAAGGAACTTCTTTAATTTTAAGCACTGAATTATTGTTTATTCTAAAACACTAATTATAATATATAGTCAAAATATAACAAAGTCCTTCAATATTATAGTTCATCCTTAATTATAGTACCATCTCGTAAACATCTGAGGAAATAAAAAACTCTCCCCAGGAGAACTCTATCCAAGAATTAAGTGCTTTTTGTTTGTTTCCTTCTTTCTTTGCTGTGTTTCGTTTTCAGTGTTCTATGTTTGATTACACAGAGCATTCATATGAGAAAATTTTAAATTTCAAAACTACTAATAGTTATTAAGATACATAATTATTTGCATACAAAACACTGACTAGTTAAAAAAAGATTACCCATGAAGTCATCCTTCTTATTTATATTAAAAATTGAAATGTACTTACGATTTCACAAAGAACTGTAACAGATTAATACTGATGAATTATTCGATAATGTTCTAATGACCATTAAAACGCAACAAAAAAAGCTAATACAGAGGCCTCAAGTCTTCTGCTTCCTAACAAGTACTGCAACAACACCCAAGAAATGGCAAAATGGCCATGATGTATGTTACTGCCCACAGTTTTCCTGACACATAAAGATAAATAAACAAGATGCCAGTTGAATATCCAATGTCAGAGGGCTTTAACCACAAGTCACACTAAATCAAAAAACTATTAACTCCCTGGGTAAAATACTGTTTTAAGGATAGGCAGTTTATTGCAGCAATTATGCTCCTAGAAATTCAGTCATAAAGTAGTTCATATTTTCTCAGGACACTTAAGGAGGGAAGAGAGGGGTGCTGTTTATGTGGCGGCCTAAAAATTCAGGCAACAATACTTCAGGTTATTAACATAATTACGGGGCATCAAACACAAAGACCTAAATATAGCAGTCTCTCCGTTTTCTTCAGTTCCTATTCACTCTTCAACCTTTCCTTTCTTGTACAGATTCCACTTTCCACTTTATCTATGGCTAAAAGTCAACAATGATATCCTGTCAAATGTAATAACCTATATTTTAAGATTACAAGTCAACAAACTGCATTTTCAACCTTAATGGCATGAGTCTCTTCAGCCGGAAACCTCAATAGGTCTAACATTAGTACAAATGGAGTGCCAAAAGAAGAAAGCAAAAATGGGGCATTAAAAAAAAAAAAAAACTAGCAGAAATAATGAAAGAATAACCTATAACTTTGATAGAGAGGAAAAAAGGATTTACAAATCAAACCCCAAGCAAAAGAATATGAACAACCTAGTCACATTGTAATCTAATTACTGAAAACCAATGACTATAAAATCTTGCAAACAGCCAGAGAATGAAATATTATATAAAAGGGAATAAGAGAACAACAATACAAATAAAGGCCAATGTCTCATCAGAAGTAATGAAGGCCAGAAGCTTTCTTTAAAGTGATGAAAGGAAAAAACTGTCAACTAAAAATTCAATAGCCTTCAAAAACAGAGTGAAACAATAACTTTTCAGATAAACAGAAGCTAAAAGAGTTTGTTCACAGCAGACACACATTACAAGAAATGTAAAAGGAAATTATAGGAACTTCAAAAAGATACAAATTCCTAACTGGATCTTTGGAAATGAAAATCAATACAAACAGTAAGTAAGTGCCAAAAGTAAAAAAATGCTGTTTTTTCTTGTTGTGATTTCCTTGAAAGGATAATTGTTTAAACGAAAAGTAATGGCATTGAAAGGCAAGATTTATAACCTACGTAGAAGTAAAGATATGACAATGGCAAAAAAGGATGGAGGGATGGATAAATGAAATTATCTGTCCAACAACTGTGTTTCTTGCTTCATTCTGATGAACTTCATTAACATAAACCTCCCCAGAGACAAATATACTCTTAGTGTGCCAAAAAAGTGGCAGGTATCTACACCTACAAAGCCGGGCACAAGACCCTCTGAATTCACCAGGACAAATGCCAGTATTTGAGGCCCTGTCTGGATGACTGGACTCAACCTACTCTGAAAAGTTCCTATAAACCATGAACCTTAACATTTGAAACTGGAATGCTTCCATAGTTGTATTACACATATATATATTCATCATGCACCTTTATGTCAAATTGCATATATATGTTCCATGTTGTATATATGCAACTTATATGTACAATTTATAGAATTTGCAGCTTAATGTTAGTGTATATCATAACAGACTTATCTTTCCTGTGCCTTTTCTTTTTCTGACTTTTTCTGGCTTTACCTATCATTTATTAATATTTGCTGCCAAATTTTCAAATCAGACTATAATCCCAAATAACCATCCTTGTTTCTGTGAGAAAATGGCTTTCATCACTGTATATCATAAGTGAATTCCAGGAACTTATAGCAACAAAAAATAGTGCACATGTTAACAGAATCTAATTTGTATTGGTGCCGACAGTTTTAAGATAAGTCAATTTTATGACTCAACAGCAGCCAAAAGTACACTAAACCTACCATAAGGTAAGCCAATTAGCAAAACTGTTATTTTAATACAGATCATGAGAAAGAATGGCAGGATGTAAAATAAAAGTATGCAGGTTTTGCAGTTTATTTTCTCCCCATTGTCTACAATTTGGGAATCAGAAAATCAATTCTGCACAGATCACATGAATGCTTTTATGTTAATGACAAATGAAAAGAAAATGACAATGAGTAAAGAGCATGAATTAATAAATACGGCTATATTCAAACCCTTTCCCTTTTCACCAACCCTTCATAATTTAGATTCTATTTTCCAAATATGGCTACAAACTTATCTCTCAGCATGTCCTTCTCATTAGTAGTGGGGTCTACATCACTCTCCCTTTGAACCTGAATGGTTCCCTTTGTGACTGCTTCAACCAATAGTGTACAGTGTAACTGATGCTATGTAACTTCCAAGGTAGATCATAAAAATGCCATCTAAGTCTTCCTTACTCTGGAGACATTCACTCTTGGAACCTAGCTCTCATGCTGTAAAAAAGTTCAAACTAGACCACATGAAGAACCTACAGGAAGGTATTCCAGCTAAGAGCCAAGCTGAGTCCAAGGCATCAGGTAGTAAAGCTTCCAGAAGTGTCAGTGAAGATGCCTCCAACTGGTCCAAGCTTCTAGCCATCAAGTTGCCCCAAGCATTTAAGTCTTCTCAGCTAAGATCCTAGACATCCTGGGATAAGAGACAAGCCATCCATACTCTGCCTTTCCAAATTCTTGACCCAGATAATTCATGAGCATAAATAAAATGCCTGTTTTACACCACTAAGTTTTAGAATAGTCTATTATATAGCAATAGTAAGTGAAACATGCCACAATTTCATGAAATAATTTTAGCATAGTTAATTTTATAAGTTCCAAATTATACCATATTCAGATATATTTATAATTACTAATTGATGAGTTTGCTAGTATATTAATTATGACTGCTCTAAGCTTGTGGATGTTGGTGCTTTTCTCCTTTTTATTAATTTTTAAACTAAATTGGACCAGAATATAATATCCCTATGTCCTAACCTTAGCCCTACTGGTTACTACCCAGGTTATTTAGCAAATTCACATAAGATTTCGAAGTCTTTCTTTACTCTTCAGTTCAAATGGGAATAACAACACTTTTCTCAGTTGGGTGTGGTGGCTCACACCTGTGATCCTAGCACTTTGGGAGGCCAAGGTGGGCAGATCGTTTGAGCTGAGGAGTTTGAGACCAGACTGAGCAAGAGCGAGACCCTGTCTCTACTAAAAAAATAGAAAGAAATTAGCTGGACAGCTAAAAACATATAGGAAAAAAAAAAAAATTAGCCAGGCATGGTGGTGTATGCCTGTAGTCCCAGCTACTCAGGAGGCTGCGGCAGAAAGATTGCTTGAGGCCAGGACTTTGAGGTTCCTGTGAGCTAGGCTGATGCCACGGCACTCTAGCCCAGGCAACAGAGCGAGACTCTGTCTCAAAAACAAAACAAAAAAAAAAGAGTAAAAGTGAAAAATTAATATTTTATTAAAAAAAGGAAAAAAAGTAACACTTTTCTCACCTGTCTTTTTAAGACTGTTTTATGGATCAAATGCAATAGCATATATGAAAGTGTTCTGAAAACATAAGACACTAAACTTTTTTGTAATATTATTTTCAGCTCTGTAAGTCCTCATTAAAAGTCTCAACTTTTTAAAAGACATCAAAATTTCAGAAGACAAAAAGAAATACACACAGTTCAACAGATGCATTTTGCCATTAAATAATGACTTTGTCTTGGTAAAACATTTAGGTAGAAAATTGATATTTTAATGTCTAAATGTTAAATATTCTTAACAAAATATGAAACCCGTCAAGTTCCCCTCAGCCCCTGGAAGTATTATATTGACATCTTTTGATAAACTGGTTGGCCAAGAATACTTCCTAGCAGTTAGTACCTGGGTTTATAGGTGCTTATAAAATGACCAACGCAGGGAAAAGATAAGATAAACCAAGAGGTTTTACAGGTAGCTTTGTGGATTATCATGGCTCATTCTAGCTAATCTGATAATAAAACAATTCATAAAAATAACAATGAATGAATCAGTTTATTACACTTCAATTCATTATCTAAGACGTTGAGCTATTTGGTTCCTGTCACCCATTAACTATTGTGTCATCACCAACCAAAGAACACTGTATTTTATTCCTTTTCCCACTGAATCCCTGCATCAAAACTAAAGAGAGGTGAGGTGGGGATAGCACTCCTAAAATGTAACACCAAAAAATAACCCTATTTAAAAATTGGCAAAGCACTCAGATATTTCTCCAAAGAATATATACAAATGGCCAATAAACACATGAAAAAAATGTTCAACAACACTAATCATTAGGGAAGTGAAAATCA